AGGATAAGGATTTGAGAAGTGTGACATATTCAATTTTGCAGCTAAGCGATACGTCTCTCCCGCTGAATGTCGCGCGCGGTCGCTCGCGCGCGGATGCCCGGACAGACGCTTATCCGCGGCCGGCAGATCCTCGGCTTTTTGCGACACGTAACGAAATTTACGAGGCGATATCGTCATTTTCGTCACGTAGCCGCACGTCGATGAACGGGACGTGCCGCTACGTCTGCTCGGCGTCATCATTGTCGTCGGTCCCCCGAAATGCAGGAAATTGAAAACACTAAGGCATGCCCCTTCCCTCTCCTCGTCGCTCCTCCTACATCCGATACGGTATACGCACGAATGCGGATTCGTGCGTGCGTTTCGGCGTGTACCGACGGATTTCGCGAAATGCGCGACGCAATTCTGTCCGTGCCTGTTAAACTGTCGTAAATTTGCGAAGCGCGTGCACATCTCTCTTATGATTACATCTCTTAATTGAGAGTGCGCTTTTGCTATATAAAACTCTTTATTTACACGAGAGTTCTGAAACGCTTATTTGATAGATTTACACAATTTATATTCGTTAAACCAACTTTCCGCGACGCGGTAAAGGGGGAAATAGGAATGATGTGTTTTCACGGTTCGCTGCAGAATGTGTGGGATCGTAAAACAGATCGTTTGGAAAATAATTATCTATGTTAAACTTCAATCTCAAACGAGATATAACGCTTAAACTTATGAGTAACACCGATAAATGTTAAGAAACTTAAGAGATACTTAACAAAAGAGAAGAAAAATATAGACTAATATTTATTATAATTTTTAAAAGAGAGAACTCGCGCGGCTTGCAATTTGGAAGTATGGAATATGCATTAAAATTAAAGCGCTGTTTATAATCTATCTTAAAGCGAATGCGATATAACGAATATTTAATTGAAGTTAATGCTAATAGACGTTCGTTAGATCGGATCTTAATACAATATGTGACGCGTCGTGATCCATATTGCGTAAATTTGCACGATTTTGTTATACGTACATCGGTGGTATAACACCGAGCACGCGATTGTCGACGGTATAATTCTCGACCCGCAAAGCGGTATATATTTTAATATAACCACCAGAGGGGTTTGGCACGATCGACACGGAAATCCGTGCCGTATATGACAAACTGTTCGCCGCAATTAGAAATAGGCGGATGCGGGACAAGCTCTGCGTATGTTGTCACGGCATATCGAGCAAATCCGTACGCGCGTGTATACGTGTGGCCGGGTTGCAAACGTCGCCCTTCCACTATGCCGGTTCGATTGTGCAAATAGGGACGATAACATCGTGAAATAAAATCAACAAACGTATGTCTCTTATCTCTTATTTCGCGTTTATCCAACTTGCACTATTGGTACAACTGCACCACAAATATTAGCACATGTATAGAGACGACCATTATCTTAGTGATATCTTAACAACATCTTATAATTTATAAAAGGAGTTGTAAACTCAATGTTTCCGATTCTTTTTGCTCCTTCAATTGACTAAGTTTGATTACGAGGCAAATGATATTGTTGACGATACGATACGATTGTTCGCGATACAAATCGATCGGTATGCAAATTTGCATTCATCGGCGGATTGCTAAAATTAATAACGATGCGTGAAAAGCGTGAATTACATTAATGGAATATGCATCGACGAGAACGCGTTGATTTGCACGAAAATTCGTTGCCTCCACTTATCGTCGGAAATTTTGGGCGAAATTCGTTCGATTCGCGCGTTATTTAACAGGACGTATTGTGCATTGTCGGCGGGATAATTCGGCGAACCGTTTTACCGCTCGTTGCAAAATATAGAAAATTCAGAGACGCGAGATAAACTTATGAATCCTATTCGTGAAAATAGTAATGACGTCGCGTAGCAAATAATTGAGGACGCGTCGCGAAATATCGTTGTACGGCTGCAGTTGCACTATAGTTAGTTGCAGGCCCCTTCGTCGAGAATTCCGTTTCGTGTTGCGCGTGATTCGTTTCCGGACTGCGCCCGGGAGATGTAAATTTCACGTTATTATTGAAATCAGTAGATTGAACCGTCAACCGCAGCTGGGTTGTATACAGAGTGTCATTGGTTGCACATGCGACCGATACACTGAAGAAAAAAAGACAGAGCGAGAAGGGAGGAAGTATAGGGGAAAGAAGAGCGTTTTTTCGGTAGGAGAGCGCTTTTCGGAGAGTTCGAATCCATTTTGCCATTTTATTTCAACCCGATATCGGCCCCTCTCCCCTCCCATCTGTCGTGTTCACTTCGTTTTATCGACTGCATGCGACTGTTCATCGTTTTATAATGCCAAAATCAGCGTTGACACGCAAATGCTTTTATATTATAGATCGATCGAGTATCTTTTCGAATAATCGCTTTGACACGAAACGCGTTTGTTGTAAATTAATAATTTTTGACAGCCGAGATGGCTATTATTTTCATGGACAAAGAGACAAATAAAGACTTTATTGCATGTAAATAATTTCTATTCGAAGAATATCACATTTATATATATCTGTGGAAATTTACTCATAGGTTAATTTAGACGGTGATGCGCAAATTCGCGACAGTGGAAACTGAGTAATAAACGATGACTGTTTGTCGTTTGCGTAGCCTCGCTGTAATGACGCATAACTATTGAATATTTACAAGCCATTTTGCTACGATTAGCTATCGTTGACAAAAGTATACGAAAATAGCAAAGTAACAAAATACTTTACAAAACTGAAAAATTTATTAATTGCAAACTTTCGTATATACTTTTGTATATATTATTATTGCACAATATTCAATACATAGAGAGATGGATACAAAAGTCTTCACACCTTCAAAAAAGATTCTCAACTTTTTCAGGCACAAAAGAAACAGCACATTTAAAACAGCAAAAGTAAATCAATTGTTTGCGTATGGTTGGATATATTATAAAAAATTTAATATTAATTAATTACACACCAACATCCGTTTTGGCTCGATAGATATTACTTCAGTATATATTTGATTTATTCTTACGAGCTTAAAGGCTTCCTTCAAATTATTTGTAATCAAAATCAATTGTATTCTTTTATTGTTGGATCAGTAATGACAGTTTCATAATAGTACTGTAATTTATTAGAGAACGTTTCTACATTCTATAGAGAAGCTGTATACCTGAATGGTACATAGCTATGTATGATTTCAGTACCTTGAATGTTTTGTATAGTTTCTATACAGAACATTCGGGTAAGAATAACAATTCAGTCTTCTTGAAAATCTCTAGAGAATACCTTGAATATAATAAATCATGGGAAAGAAATGTAATTTACAGAGAAAATGTAATTTACTACCATAAGTTCACGTAGTATTTGAAAGTTTCTACCTTTCTTCATTAAAACAATATACGTCACGCTTAAATCCGGCAATTCGTCTGGTCGAACACTTCTACACATATGTCGAATGCAAATTCGTATTATCGGCTGTATAGAACACAGAGGTAAACGAAAAGAGTGAACGGTCGGACGTTATAGTAATCGCGCTCTACTGCCTATCGACAACGACTTTGCACAGTCGTTTCAGATTATACCGATTTCGCATTTTGTTTTATAGCCATATAGAAACGCTGTCATTTTCGCTGATACTCGAGGTCGAATTTTGTCCGGAATTGCCGAGCAGCCAAAATGAAATTTTTTCTAGTCGTGGAATATGAGATCTTTGCTTGCGAAGTTCATGATAACGGTGATAGAGTTTTGCTTCAAAGTGACGAACGCGCCCGTATTTGCGAAGAGAGAAAGAAAGGAGATAGCATAGTTAGTGCAGTCCGATGCTTTAACAGGCGTTGCATTTTAAACAAATAATTAATTCCACGTTACCATCAAGTAGAGTCGCATTGACTTTCTAAACCGGTTTTCGAATACAACGTAAACGACTTTCACATACGCGTTATATAATTTCTCTCGACAATATAGAATTTATTTGCATAACAATCTCTACACTTACATTTTTTTTGCGTTGCCTTATACGCTTATGAGATATACTTTTCGGTTCTATACCACGCATCACGGATTATTAAACATAATCGGATAGCGTAATCCGTTACCGCCGCAATTCGAGTGCAAGATTTAGCCGAGAGAGGCAACCCCTCTTAAAATTACTGGCAGCGAATCGGAAACCGATACGGTGCGCGTACTGCCCCCGAGATGAATCGTTATCTCCTCTTGGTCGAAAATAAAATTTGAGTCCCGTTCTCGTCGCACCGTTCTCTTCTCATAGGATTAAGGATATTCCTGTTCTTCTTATATCGCGCAGAATTCTGCGGGCGTCAGGCGGTCCGCGATTTCCTTTGGAGATCGACGATAAATCAAGCTTAAAATTGCTTTCGCGCTATTCTCGATTATTCGTCCTCTCGAAAGAGCGACTTCCTTGCAACGTGCTCCTTTAACGCACAGAACATCTTGGATATCTTAACAGTTCTACACTACTCTTCGTGAAAGCATTGTTCCGAAAGATTCGATCAATCGTGTGTTCGCGATTTTATGCGGGTAGATTCGACAGTCCTGTAAAAGTTAGCTCGATTTCATTGTTTAACGAGATACTTCACTGATTGGATCTACAAGAGGGATGATGGCCTTTTATCTTTTACAATTTCAATTGAAAAATTATTATTCATTTGTTGTTATTAAATTCTGCATGTATAAAACCAGAAGTGTTTTATTCATTAAATTCCACTTTATTTTCGCTGTTATTCTGCAAATTAAGTAGAGCTCGAAAATTGGCACTTTTTGGAGAAATTTCTATTTCAAATATCAAGGACTTTCAATTGATGTTACGTATTAGGTGCGACATCAGATATTTTTCTTTATTTCTTTATAATCTATAGCGCTGTCCTCGTCTCCCTTTTCGTACTATTAGATATTAATTTCGATGAAATAATTCCATTTTCGATTAATAATTCTATCTATATGCAAATATGCGCGACGATGACACGTCGGCTTATCATATGTGATGGAGAAACATCGTACCTGGTGTCTCGGAGAAAAAAATTTCCGATCCTTCGTATCAGATGATGCGGCCTGAGGAGCGCTTCTTCAGATAAGTCGAAAAGGCCGATCGCATAATATCGTCGTAGGTGATTCGTTTTCTCGTCAGCGCGGCGGCGGCGGCGTGCGCGAATGCCCTACTGAATCCCCTTGAAATTGCTTCCCGCGGCTGAATGCTATACGTCTCGCCTTTTGTAACGGCACGCTGAACACGCTCGTTCCGGCAGGCGGACAGCCCGATAAGTAGCTACGATACGAATGAGGAATCCCCGCGGCTCGCCTTGCTTTGTATAAATCGCGCCGAGTTTCGGCGATCCCGTCGAAATGGCAACAGTAGCGGATCGAACTGACATGAACCTGGCGTAAGATTTTATGAAAGATAAAAATTTTGTAATGAAGATACAAACAAATACAAATTAAGTATTACTGAACTATGTACATCATAAATTTTTTTTTTTTATAAAGACATTTACATTGGCGTGAATTCAAACAAAAAATTATCGCATCGAAAATGAGATAATCGTTTCAGTTAAAGAAAAATATTTATTTTAATTGCATTTAGATTTCTATAAGAGATACTATTCTATAAGAGATACTGTCTTCAGTTTGCTGAATTTTTTGCGATAAATGTAGGTTTTATTCAATATAGAAGCGCAATGAGACTGAAAAGAATGTGCGAGAATCTTTATTTGACAAAAAAAATTTAATGTAAATATCCCGATTTTATTGAGGGCGTAAATGTACATAAGGCCAATGTTGATATATGTGTGATGTGACCCGTAAAAAATGCCAAATTCTCTGAAAGGAGGGGAACATTGATCTGAGAAGAATGTAAAGTGATGATAACATTATCTCCAGGGGCCGAGAAAATCCCAGAATGAATGGAAGCATTTATTATTGTTTAGTTTAAGGATCAAAAAATTTTTAAAAGTCATTTAATAAGTGACATTTGAATGAATTGTTGAATTGTCTTCTTTTTACTCTCATATATTAATATGCAACGTTCCTTTGTGTCATTCGAAGAAAATGCTCATCAAAGATAACAAAATGTATATATATTTCAACCTGTATTTGCTCGACGCAATGACATAATTGTAGGCTACAATAATTCATTTAGCGGCGGAGAGCTATATATAGGTAGGTTTATCTATGCATATTGTATGAGGATTGGACAGAATATTTGTTCTCTATTGATTTCTCTCTATTTCGCTCGAGACGCAACGAGACGACAGAGAGGAGAAAGTGAGTAGAAACTTGAACAAATCCGGACTAAGGATTAAATCTGATTGGCGCACAAAGGAAGTGCTTCTCTCGCTGTTGTTAATGAATTATTAAATATTCCTCGTGGATAGATTAAAAGCGGTTTCGTCGTGTTGCCGTGCATATGCCGTGCATATCGAACGCACACTCGCTCTCGAAATTTGCGTAGGTACGCTGGTGATACATTAGCGGCGTGCGGAAAGTTTGCGGCTGCCGCGAGTTGCGATTAGTTAGTCCCGCCGGGACGCGCCGAATTCACGGTAATTATCTATTCGACACGACCTCGTTTTGGATTCCCGCATCTGCGAGTGCCTCCTCGCGAATCAGCCCGCATTATTGTATTGCAAGACAATAATCCACGCCCAATTTCGCTGCTCCCGCGCGGTATCACGCCGCGATAAGATACGAATGTCGTATCGCTGGCCCCCGGAATTCTGTTTGTGGTCAATAAATCATGATTGGAGCGTACCAACAGCTAGTGCTTTCGCTAGATGCGACGTTACGTTAATACGTGCGAAATAGATTTCTAACGCAAATTCATGGTCTCGCTTCCGGATATTTGCGCGTACGGATATTTATATCACATGAAATTTTTAAGAAACAATATTATCGCCAAAAAGTTAGAGAATAAGTATACTTATATCTTTGAACATACAATATTTTAGCCATGCAAATAAATATGTGGACAATTTTAATTCTAACTTTTTTATTCTTTTATAATAAGTATAATAGAACTATAAGTTGTCCACACACATCGTTCTATTCACTGTATATTTATTACAAAAATTTTAAACAGTCTTCTGACGTGCACAGCTCGTGGTCGACGATATCGCATACCTACATTAACTGCGAGTGTAAAACTATAACGCCGCGATGAGCGGAGTTCCGAGAAAACGACGTACATGCCGCGTGGCGTCCCACGGATGACAGCACGGACTTATGCGGAGATGCGCTTGCGAAAGTTTTTAATGAAAATTTGTAATCTTGGATTTTCCACGAACTGGCATGAAGTTTTCGGTCCGTCGCGATGAAAATGTTAATCAAAGAATGTACGTAGTCGGGCACGGCGAAGATCGGCCGAAGAATCTGGTTGTCTCAATATTATTGATATAATGAACATTTATAGTTGATTTTCTAAATGTTTGTTTATCAATTACGTTTCGAACAATAAACGTCATATTATTTACATTTGAGCATTCCACCATATTTAATATCGAAAAAAGTAATGACCATTTTTTTCGAAACTAAATATGTGCCTTTTATTTTATCGATAACGTCAGTTCTTTTCATAATTAAAAAAATTGAATAATTTGTAATTTCTTTAAGAATTTTCAATATTAAAAGCATCAGTTTATTATATATTGTATAATTATTAATGCGTTATAGAATATAGAAAATTTTTGTATTTTTTTACGGAAAACATATGAAACCAATGCCACAGTTTCGGAAAATCTAAATTTGCTTGAATATAATTCTTTTCCTTTAGTAATAACAAAAAATGCAGATTGTTGTTTGTAAAAAATACTTCAATTAGAGAAATCAATTATCTATATATCACAGACGCATCTGTAAGCATTACGATGCAATATTTCATTATCGAGACATAACTGTAAGCGAGTGAGAAGCTTAGCAGCATGATAACTGACTGAGTCCCTTTATCACGTCAAGATGATTCTCAAGAAGGCTGTATAAATCTTGCAAATTCTAATGTGAAGAACGTATAACACCAGCAAAATACAAAGATCCAATAAAGAATTTTATTTTTAGCAATAATTGTTAAATAATATCTTTATTTACTGCGTTGACGCACAGAGATTTACAGAAGTTCGTAAAAATAATAGCAATTTATCGTCGAAATCGTTTTGACCGAGCGCAAGACAGGGACGGTATGGCTTTACTAGCGCAAAATATTATGGTCGCAAGAAATACTACGTGCAGCCGCGGGTTCATTTCAGCACGTGCATCCACGTCTCACGCCGCCCGTGACATAAGCCCGGGCCTTCCCCCTTCACGGCGGGGCGGGATTTCGCGTGGTTTACGTAATATTTCCTGGTCACGTTCGGGATATGCATGAACTTTAAAAGTGGCGCCTTCGTGCTTACGGAATATTAAAGCCATTCATATTTACCGGGGGACCAGATACTGTAGGCACGTAATAACGCATTTTTTCTTGCCGCCCGTCCGTGTTTCCATCCCCTTGCCCAACACGTTGCATCCCCGCGCCGTTTCTCTCGCCGCACTCGTTAAAATTATCGCTTTGCCTCAAACGTACGTTGGCACGTCGCGTCGGCGTGAGGCCGTCCTTATTCAGAAACATCGTCATTCTTCGTGGATACGTCACGCAGAGAAAACGTCCGAGTGCACGTTCACGCTACCGCGAGGACATAAACTGCGCGATAATGTTCCACGCGTGTGTTGCGTGTCCTGGGACATATATTACATTGATGGATTTAAAGGGAGTTGCCGCAGAGTAGGGACCGTAGGAAACTTTTGGAAGTCCGGTCAATTTCTGAATATATTTTGAATAAATATCGCCATCGCTGTACTCGCCAATTCCAAATATTACGATGCGAAGAAATGAAAATATATAAAAAAGATGAATAAAAATAAATAAATTGTTGAATTTGTTACAATAAATTTTAATTAAAAAATTAAATATTGATTTTGTTTGTTCACTTAATTTAATTGTAATTTTAATTATTTTTAATTTTATTTTTTATAACATCAGTAAAAAATAAAGATCCAATAAAGCATTTTATTTTAATTATAAATAATTGTTATCTTTATTTACCATATCGAAGCACAGAAATTGATTACGCGGCACAATTTATAAAAATAATAACAATCGTCGAAACCGTCTTGATGAACGCAAGATAGGAACTCAATAACTCAAATATATAAAAGCATGAAAATATATAAAAAATAAAATTAATGAATATGTTTATCTCCAAAAATTATTTTTTAAAAGAATATAAATTATGTGTTATATATAAATATTTTCACAAGATCCACTCTATAAATCATACAGTATTTCTCAAAAGATCTTTGCATCTTAAGGTAGCACTTATATTTTCTATAATTAATAATAATAAATATAACTCTTTTTGGCTCTCATTATTTGATGTAATTCTTTTTAATCTATTGTAACAAAATCGGTTGCCAGCATGTGACTAATGTGCGCGTTCCACCTTATTTCTTACTGTCACAGTGCATTAGAGGGCTTTGGACAGTTTGAGTGCTTCTTTCAGCGCCCGGTTTACACACAAACTCACTTTGGTAAAGCTCTCGCCGTTTCCTTCTGTCCGATGATTGTACGAGGTGCCCACGTGGTGAAATTATATTGATAGAGCCATGGATTTGCTGGAAGAAATGTGAAGTAGTTGTGATACATGTATGTGGCGATATGTCTCATATATGTCCCAGGATACAGCAACCGGACAAAACTATGTCAAAAAATTACGCGATATAAAGTATCTATGTACAACTATCTCTTTTTGCAATTTCATCTTTGAGTACCTGTACTTGTGCATAGTTTTTGCGTTTTTTTTTTTGCAATAAATATCTGTATTTGCGAGTACTAAAAATCGAGATCTGCTCAAAGTTTTACACTTTGCGGTGATTATCGCGCGGAAGAAACCGCGCGAGGATATGTTCGTCTCTCATATAAAAGGATTTGTGATGCCACAAAGTCTCTGTTTGTACGTTAAGAAGTACTCCGAATTACTAGGGCCATGTGTCTTGCTCGCGCTGTGTGGTTGAGCAATTTAGACTGGTGAAGGTGAGATTTTTCTCGCTGGTAAGATTGCATCTGTACGTGAGCGCGATGAACATACAGGATATCTAGTAAATTGTGACGCATCCAGTGTAATCTAGAGATGATACTTCTTGAAAAAAAAGTAAGAGAAAATGTAGGATAATTATGTGTATTTTTGTTTGGTTGCATAATTTACTTCTAAATAAAAATTTACTTTTAACATTCTCTTTGCAAAATATGATAGTTCGTATTAATTATTATAAAGAAAATTATTCTAATTGGTATAAAAATAATCGGGTAGACACTTCTTCGTAATTTCACATTTTTCTCTAAAACTAGCAATTAAAAAAATTTGATCGACAGAAAATCTGAGATGTCATTTGTACGTACATTCTCGACAATATCGAAGAGATTAAGGAATATATTTTAAAAATGTTGCAAAGAAATTTATTCTATCTTTTCCATTTATCTTTTTTTCACTTTCTTCAGTCACTTCGCCAGTTGTGCAATGAATTACTGGACACCTTGTATATTCCACTGTCATTTGTACAACGTCGGAAAGATGTCCTTTTTAGATGCTCCTCGTTATTCGCTTATTGCCCAGGATTTCGTCTTTTTCCATTCGCAATATTGTTCCTGTTTGCTACAGCGATTCTCGCGGCGTCGTTGTAATACGTCTACCAACCAGCTAGATCGATCAGATTAATCCTTAACACCGTACAAATGCAACGCAACACAACAATTCCCGATTCGACTGATAGTCATCATTTTTCAATAAACAAGAATAGAGCATTATGGGATTATCTTGTTTTACGCGAAAGAAGATTAATGGCAAATGTGTACAATTATCGGCAACAATTTATATCCCTTTTTATATTTACTTACAGTATTTTCTAATAATTTTATGATAGCTATTAAATTCTTTTACCAACGATGTTTAGCGAGAGATTAATCTGTATTAATTCCGGGCGGAGTGTGATGAATGGATGTATTCCCTGTGAAACCACCGGGCTATCGTATACAAGAATCTGTCCGCGTGCGTACGACTCTGTGAGATAAAAAAGGAGCGCCGGCGTCGTTAGTAACGTATCTTCTATGCATTTAACCTACACCATTCTAATGTGAAATATAAGATAATTATTAAATCGCGCTAATAAAATTCCCATTAGCGTAATTCTCGAATGATTATAATGCTCACGTTTATATTATATGCTTTCGTTTTTTCTGTATTTACAGATCGTAAAATTATATTAATATCCGGTAGTAAAATTAACGTCGTAATTGAGAATCGTCTTACGAATTACTTTGGATCGCTCGAATGTCCTTGTCTGTCGCGAATCGTCGAATGCAATTGGCGAAATGCATGCCAAAAACGTCGCGCGTAAATGTCGATCATAATTTAAAGCTGGATATGTGCTTTCGCAATGAGCTTGACAGCACGTATTGCTCTTGATAAAAACGACACGGGGAACGTTTTGAAAGCTCCCGACGTATTTGGTCCCACCGCTCTGTATTCCGGTTATCAAAACCGGCTCCGCGCGTATTATAAAAAAATAAAGCTGCAGCACAGTCGCGCGTCGCGCGCAGGATGAATTAAATGCTGTAAGATTTTACGACAGCTTAAATTTTTCAGCGAATGTTGGTCACTGCCGCTCACATCAAACGCTGGCGACGGCTATTCTTACCGCACGACAGGTCGCGGAATATAAAGCGGCGAATTTATGCGCTTTTGCGCGATGCAAATGGTCCGCAAACAGTTACGGCATGTCTCGATTAAAATGCAAGTGTATGAGATTATGTATTATTTTTGCCGCTGTTCTTCGACATATTACTAAATTCATTATTTGAATTCTTAATTTACAACATTTATCTTTATTATAATCTAGCTAACTTTTTTCTGTTCTTATTTAAACATTTTTTTTTATTCTTTATTTAAACATTTCTAAAGAATGGCTTACGATAAAGCACTAAGAAATTTAAATTTTATAGAATTAATTTAGAAAGAACTTTAGAATTTATGCATTTATGTCTGCAAAGTTCTACAAAATTCAGCAAAGTCTATGCGAGATTAATTGAGACTTGTAGTTATTATGTAATCTATTCTTTAAAACTCCTTCATCTTGGCTGAACGGGCGATCAGCAAAATATGCAATGAAAGCGTCGCGTTTGCATTTCGCAACGTATTCTATTCTTCATTGAGGGGTTGCGGTCGTTGCGGAGGCTGATTAATTTTCGTTTCGCGAGAGCGTGGCGGATTATTGTAACAGAAGACGCTCCTCGCGAGTTTTCAAAGAACGGCATTGTTTTCTCAGCGGCGGCGAACGGCGGCGTGAATAATTAATTAGATCAATAACAATCCCGCGGGGTTGCTCGCGTACGCTCCTAGCACAATGTCGCCAAACTATACTTCACAACGCTCTACGGCTTAATTCGTGTTCGTCGGCGGTGTCGGCGACGGAAGATAATAAGAATAATGCCCCGTGATTATAGGCCAGCCCTCATGATATCGCTTTGTTGCCGTCTTATCAACGGAGCATGAAAACTCTCGGTCGTTCTTTACAGTGTAACTTATCATAATCGCGCGGCCTTCGTATGCAAAGGGTGCGCTCGGGTTTTTTTTTCTGCGCGAAGAATTTTCGCAAGCAGTTTCACGGCGCAGCCGTAGAAGCATGTCGTCACGCTTAAATCTTACGAAAGGAAGGAAAGAGAAAAAGAAAGAGAAAGAAAGATTACGATAGAAAGAGACAGAATCGAGAGCGGAAAAAGAAAGGAGATGCGTGTGTAAAGTAAACTTATTTTCATATTTATACTTCAACGTTAAAACACGGAGAATGTGCGTGGTTTATTTGTAAGCAAATTTAAACAAAATTCAGGCCAACGTGAATCGATGAATATATATCTATAGTTGTCAATGCGATATAACATTCAGTCATTATATATAGATGTAACATTCATAAGTGTCTACATTTAGTTAAAGCTGGATCTGTGCAAAGATCGAAACTGGTATTAATCCATTATATGAATGTTGAATCTTGAGCAATAATGAATGTCGCACGGACTGCCGTTACTAGCGCATTTTTTGACCTGAATGTCGTTATTCGAATTTATTCCATGTTCTGGACGAAATTTTTAGTATATGAGTGGATATTTCACAACATTACAATGCAACTGACGACTGAATCGTAATTCTATAAACGCTGTAGAAAATATAACTTTTTACATTTATTTTATATTCATATTAATTGCCTTTGGCATTAATTAACGTGAATTTTCAAGGTTATGGCTCGTCTTTGAAAATACAAGAGGTAGAGAAACGTGATAGAACACTATTATCTTCTACTGTTAAATGCAGGTTTCATGAATAAAGTCAATATTGTTCTCGCGAGAAGGATAATTTTGCCCGTACTGCTAAAAGCATCGCAGGAAAATACGCTACGATTTCGGGTGCACTCGAGGGAAGACGCGCGGAAAATAATTTGCGAGCACCGTCATCGTTGTCGTCCGACTGCAAAATTTCACGTTGCAAAGTCAGCGCGCTTTTTCGACGTAGCCATGAAGGTTCGGTCTCTTTTTTTTTATCGCGCGAACCTTTTTAATTGCATTTTTATCGCGGCGCTGTGCATGGCGCGCTGCCTTCCCCATAATGCATTATTCTCTCGTCAGACGTAACAGTTTTCCGTGTCTCATGTCTAAATTACAACTACAATGTATATTTTTCGCTAAGTTTTAAAGGGATCATCGCACATGTTCGTATTTTACTTACATCTGCATTTATAATTGTCGTACGAATAAAAAATATATTTTAGGTGACATATTTAGAATAAATATTTATGTATAAATATCTATAATGTACAAATATTATAATTTATGCGTAAATTTATTTATTCAGTTATATTACATAAAATTTACGAAACATAGATAATTATGATTGTGCGTACTAATCATCACAATAGAATAATTGCCCATATACTTTTTACACGACACTCCCGATATTAACTGCAAGTGACGTACATTTTACTTTTTTATATTGTAATGGAGTCTCATTGTGAAACACGATCGTAAAAATAACATGAAAAAAAAAACGAAGTTCTGAATGATAGCCATAAATTAGTACAACGAAAGGAATCTCAAACCATTGACAAATATTGAAGTACGGATTTAATTATGATTGTATGAATGTGTTAATTAAATACGGTGATACTGGAAATCGATCTGTTTTGTACACGAAATATTAAAAAATGATATTGGCATTTTAAAAGTTACCGAACAGTGCGATGTAATACGAGACGTTGAATCAATTAAAACTCGATTATTCGAAAATATACAGTCACAATTTAATTGGGCATATCTAATGTACAATATTTCGAAGTATTTAACATATCCGGCGATACGCATATAATTACGCTGTCGATTCAAAAGTAACAATTTATCATTTCAATAAATCAAAATATTGCGTGCATATAATATCGCAATGAAGCAGCGCTTTACAATTCCTGTTGCTGTAATTCTTGAGCGGAATGAATAAATCGCGGAAAATATTTATTTCGATAAAAAAATCATAAAATTCAGTCGTCAGTTGCAAAAATTAATTAATCGCACATGCTATTAATTGAGTTAATTATTTGTAGGAAATAATTGCCTCAACTTTTTCATGTTCTCTAAAGAAAAATTGTCAAATCTTGCTATTTAAAATTGTCGAAACGGGAAAGAGCGTAGAAAATTTTAACTAAAAAGGAGGTGTAGGTAATTGTGTGAATATATGTAATGGGGAGAGGAGGGTAAAGTCAGTAGGTCGTTGATTGATTATTCTACATCTTAACTCGGTGAGATCGATTCGATCAGGGTCTATCGAATAAACGTTTGGGGGTAACGGATTGGAAATTTGGAGAAATTGGCGGACAAGATGTTTATAGGTAAAATTGCCGTTGAAATGAGGGTGAGGGGGAAGAAACAGGAATCTCCTCAAGGAACTTTATTGTGAATGTGGAGCGTGAGAGGGACGATGGAGTTTACTCGTTGGGGAAAGCGATTGGAGAGGAAACGAAATCACCATTAGAAGAAAAAAGAGGTCTTTCGTCGAGACTAGGAAATGCAAGGGGAATAATGAAGGCAAATGAGGGGTTAAGATTTCTTTATCTAATCAGGTAATTAGATAAAGAAATTGCACGTTAGAACTTATAGAAATTAAATATATAATAAAATTGTTATTTTATAATATTATGTAAATCTACCTCGTTTTACGTTCCCCTGCATTATCTGAAAATTGCACAAAATCTAATCCTTGTTTATTTTCAGTTTTTTGACCTGTCCTACAAGGTCAATGGACATGCAGTTCCAGACGGCATTATGAAATCCGTATGGAATTTAGACTAACATCTGGAACGAAAGTGCGTAACTTGTATTGCAAGTGTGTAACTGTAGTACACGCTATGCGCGTTTACTTACAAAAGGAACTTTTGACCGCTTTTCCACACCCTATTCACCCCTATTCTTCCATTCTAAAATCAGGTACAAAGAAATCTTGGGTTTGGACATGACAGTTTCAAATAGTACGATTTTGGCAACTTTTCTTTGGTAGGTGACTCGGTAAAATACGAGCTAAAGTATGCTTCTTTGCGTCTGTTGCGACAGTATTGTGTATGTGTTGCGGTCGCTCGGAATTCCCGCTATTTATAAAATGGCACTCGAAGGTCCACTAAAAGATAATCTCTGCTGGGCGATTCAAGATAGTAAAGATTGTTTCTCAAAAATCTCCAGGAATCAATAAATTTATGATATTAAAAATATAAATAAAATTTAAAAAGAGGTTTTAATTAATAACAAAAAAAAATGAGAGAGACGGATTAATAGTTAGGTAAAAGAAAAGGTAATGCCGATAAAAGAAAAGATTCTTTTTATATTTACTATTTGCTAAAGCTCTGGATTGCTTAAAGAATGATAACAGCTGGCCCTATTTAATATTTTTTGCTTAATTGATTTCTCCTTTTTAATATTCTTAAGTATATTTTTGTATTGCAGAACACTTCTGCAACATTTTTTAACTTATCGAGTTATTTTTAATTTATCGACATATTAAAACAAAAATATTGTTTGCACAATAATTTTTGCACGCATATTTGGCGCTTTTTTTTACTTTTTTTTTGGAAAAATAATTTTTCAATAAATCTTTAGATCAATTAGACAATTTTTTGTATAATTTAATAATAAATATCATATTTATCTATATAATATCAATAGCCTCCAGCTGTATCTCAAATATTTAACAACTCTGTGCATTATTGTTATACAAATAATAATATCAATTATTTCCTCAGAGAGCATTTGGTTCAATATTTACGAGAAGAAGATATTCATTTCATAGCTTGCTTTACGTTGTATTTCTCAAGTGACGCCGTGTACTCAGCCGCAGTTACACATCGAACTTTGCCGAGCTTTTCAATTCGAAATTTTCACGTTCTCGACACGACTTTCGCGATAGGAGTCGCCCCGCGGTGAAGTTTCGCCGCGAAATATACGGCGCCGCAACCGCGATCGTCGTGAGAAGTTGAAATTTCCTTAATGACGCACTTCTGGAACTTGTTGTACGCGAGCGTGCGAAAGAGAGAAATCTAACTCGACCGGAAGTTATGCTTTATTACGTTTCGCTTGCATTAGCAGTTTCGACTCCGCGCGATAACCGTTTCCATTCTGCGAACGTTGCGGGGATGCGCGTCGTCCTGCATTTGTTTCCCGTAAGTTCCTGTAACTTTTCACGCTCGGTCCTTTTATACGACCGATTTCACAGAGCACCGTAAAACCGCAAACCATTGCGGCAGAGCCAAATACGGATAGATAAAAATTCCGTTTAAAAATACATACCATCGACCCATATTTCAATGCAAATATTATCTTTAAAGAAGAGCATTTGCATAATTTATCTTCCAATAGGATTTTTTGCTAATTAAATATTCGTTAAGAATAAAGAAATAAAAAATTAAATTCTTTAAGAATAATTAAAAGATTTTTGTGTATGAAAATTCTTCTATTTATTTATTATTGATTTCGCAGAAATTTTTCAAATTAAGAAATTAACGTCGAATTGTTATGTATTATTCAATCTTAAATTAAAAATTTGTATCTGTCGCATCTATATATTAAAATAATTATGAATGAACTTATAATTACACACGGGGATTGAAACAATTTATTGGAAGCAATTTATTGGAAGATATACAACTGGTTGGTTATCTGATGTGTTTACTTTTGTTTAGATTCTGGTTAACTTCCGACAGATTTCACGTAAGTGTTGCCGATGCCTCTATTTGCTTTCTATACCCTTCGGATCCTGGCTTAATCCCGGCTTTACCGAGCGTTCGACACGGTCAGCTATTACAGGAGAGGTCTTCGTGACAAACTTTAGTCATTACGACTATTCTGTTTTCGAGCACAAGGGCCTTTATATACAAACGTTCCTTATTACCGATGCCAAGGGAAACTCGCTCGTGCGGTCTCTGCCTTTTTACGTGTGTACGTACCGCACGAACACACGAAGCGCCACATAGTTTCACAAATTGCAGTGGATTGGCTAGAAAATCCGCGCGTTCGACGGAAATTATTTGGAATTCGGGACTGGAAAGGTACGGAAGGAGTGAGTCGGTTCGGCACTTCTCTCGATTAAACGCGCGGCTTGTCCGAGCAATTGTCTTCAATAGGAAATTAAAATAGTGCCGGGACTTCTTCCAATTACCACGGCAAACTTGCTCGATAAATCTATTAAGAAGCAAGAATATCTCGTTATCCATGCCATCAAGATGTTGTGGCTTACAGAAGTTTCCGAATATCATTAATATAAGATTGCATCATGTAACTTTCGTAGATTTAAGTTAAGCCGGGAATTCTTTATCGTCAGCAAAAGTCTTATTTTTAGTATAAATATCATTGTGTTGTTTTTATTATATCTAAATACCTAAAGATCATAAAATCCTCCCCCTAAAAATGAATACAAAAGGAATATGGGGATTCTTTATGGCCATAGAGATAATAAATGAGAGCATGTGTCAGTCAACAAGCGGAACGTGCAAAAAAGGGAACAGTACTTGATTTTCTTTTCTTTCTTAGTATACAGCCTCCCACTTAATGTTCCCTCACTTTCTCTCTATAAATAGAAGAAAGTAGAAGGAGCATTAAGTGGGGGCTATCTATACTATGAGCGTAACTTCCCTCAACGTGTGTACGTAGGTTGTGTTCGCTTTAAGCTTCATTCTATCTTCCGCACGTAATGAGCGATAAAGATAAAATGAACTTATGAACGCGTGAGCATCTAAAGCGAACTGTCGATGACGAAGCTGTTGACATTCTGCATAGGAAATTTAGTATCTCGATATCATATCGTAAATTCACCTGATATGGCTTTACAATTATCAAGCCGGAAACTATTCCGCTGGAGATTGAAAGCAAAAAAAAAATGGGTTTACGAGTTTTCTCTGTGTCTTGATTAATGTCAGGCATGACACTTCTGAAGAAAATATGCGTGAAAGCCTTAAGAGCACAAAAAGAAAAATTGTTGCATTCACCGATATAATTTATATATTACTGTTGAAACTGTCAACAAAACAAACAATTTTCTTTTATGTTATTTTCTCTATAAAGTTATCAAAAAAAGATTAAGCCTGTTGGTATATTTCTTTTCAAAACTGACAGAACACATAACCATGGTTACTACCTTTTCGGTCGGAGACTCCGAATTATTTTAAAACATCTCCCGTAAGACAGTCAAATTTGATGATCTTGTTTTGTCAAGAAAGCATTAAAAGAAAATAACAATTTAGTTTAGACAATAATCAATTTCAAGCAGGAGGGTCATCAGAACACTAGTCGGAAGATTGACAATTATGCTCAATTCGGATAATATAAAAAAAATTCAAAATCGGGACACAAGTCTTAAAGACGTTTTTTTTATTGCCACACTACTATTTTCCTGTAAAAAAGACCATTAAAATTCAACTAATCAGCCGGAGATTTTTCCCGTATGCCAAAGCGTCAGAGTTCTATCGAAAAGTCGGAGTTTCTGAAAATTGAAAAAATGACAATGTTGGATAGTTTTACTTAGGCTTTTGAAAAATATATAAATTACCATACAAATACCGAACCCTACTCGAATCCTTCTTCATTTTTCATCATTTCTTATATTATATCTTTTACTTATTGTTAAATATCAAGCGATAGACACGCTTTCTAGCATATAATGGACATAAAAGGCTTTAGAAAGACGAAAGATTTCTATTTATTTTATTTTTCTATGCATGAAGGAGGACGGGGTCCTCAAGTATCTTATTCTTTGAGCGGCTTTCCGCCCCTGTTCCGGTTCGCTCTATCAGGATCCACCGCTATGTCAGCGACGAATACATAATTAAATCTCCCGTGTTCAATGAAGTTGGACGCGTGCGACGATGGGACGCGATAAAGGGCGTAATTAATTCGGTCTACAATTTAATATTTCAGTTGAGCCCGACAAAAATCATTTTTCACACGCTTCGCGCGCGAAATAATGCCGCTTGACTTTATTTATCGCGCAACCGAGCATGCATCGCTGCGCGATCTAAACTCGAGCGTTCGTCTCTATGCCTCTGGTTATTAATCATAGCCGTCTCGCTTTTTCGTCCCGCTTTCTTGCGGCCTGATTAATAGCGCGGATAGAGGGTACCGCGAAGTCGCGGCCTTGCGAACTCCAAGATTCGAGTTACCGAATGGGTCGTATTTTGATAGTAACGCAATGCGATGCATATAAATACAATACTTATAGAATTAATAGAGCGAACCGGAATGCAAGTTGACAATTATTCTTTATGACAATTATCTTTTTTATCACTAGCGCGTTGTAAAGTGGACATAATTATTTAGAAAATATTTGGATAAAAATATTATTCGGAAATCTTTCTCAAAAGTCATTTCTTATAATCTTCTTGCAATGAGTTGCATTGAACAATACTTTTCACTTTTACCTTAGAGCAAAAAGATTTCAGGTACACTTTCGTTAATGTTCTCGCGTAAACATAAGAATTAAATGGAAAGATTTATGGCGTCAGGAAAGAATACAAAGTTTCTTTACAAAAGTTTAAGATAACAGATCGTTATTCCCAACTTCTTAATTTTCGACTTCAAATATTCCAATTAAGCCTTAAATAGAACTCCGTGCCTGCTGAGTATTATAAGTGTTTGCCGCATTGAAATAACTCACAAGGGAATCTCGCAAAGTGTTAAATTCTGTTTTTAATGAAACTTCGTACATTTCTAGGTTACATAAATAAATTAATTTAGAAAATATCTGTTGGTGCTAAAAAACAATTTAAAGTAAAGCCATCTCTTATATGTAAAGTAATTTTCTGTGTATTTTTTCGTTATATCTCGAAAACTATTCAAGATATCAGAAAATATTTTATACAGAGATTAATATTCTTTATTTACGTTAATAGTATTTTTTAATTATATTATTTTAATAATAAATATTTTTTTAATTTTCTAGAAAATAATTATTAAAAGAAATATTATAAATGTAAACAAATAGAGATAATTTTACTATAAAATTTTTGTATAAAACATTTTTTGACATCTTGACTTGAATAATTTTCGAGATATAATGGAAAAAGTTAATTATTGCTTAATATTAAAGGATGATTTCTAAACCGTTTTTCCACTGCAATTGATATTTTGTAAATCTGTTTATGTAACCTAGGTATACAAAATTTTATTAAAATCAGAACTCTTGAATCTTTTGTTATAAAACTTATAATAGTTATACATTAATTTACACATATCGATCGAATATTGTTTTAATTTTTTCATGATAAAGCACTATCATTTCCATACTCAGGGTTGTGACCTTGACAATATATGGCAAGATCAGGGCCATTGAAGGGAGCTAAACTTTCTAAACTGAAATTTTTTAGACTAATGAGAATGGATTCTACTGCACTTCGAAAATTTTGTTGTACGCATTTCCTGGAAAGCTCCCCAATAGCGCCTGAGGTGGGATACCGATTTTTAGTCGGTAGAAGATAGGCAATCTGATATCTACTGCAAGGTGAAATGGAAATAATAGTGCTTTGTCATGGAAAAAATAAAAGTTTTCGAAATACAACGAAAAAAAACTAAAAATTGCTCAACGTATAGTGTGATTTCATCTCTTTAAACCGTTTTTTTAGTCAACTGATATTTTCTAAATTTATCTATTTAAGTATGCAACCTAAAAGTGTACCAAGTTTCATTAAAATCAAAATTTTTACACTTTGCGAGGTTCTCTCATTTATTTACTGAAAACTTCAAAACAGAAAGAATTTAGAATTTCAGATTAAAAAGCAATGGTTACGAGAGTAATTGTTAGCTATTAAATTATAAAGCGTAATGTGCCATCAGTACGAACATTCAAATGTATTCAAGAAGATACTCAAAATGTAAATATGTATTGCCCTGATTTAAAAAGCTTCGCAGCTTTAGATTTTACAGATCGTGAGGCGATATATTATATTTATATTTGCATAACGATACTTGCCTTGAATACGATCGGTCGGAAAACTGTATTCATATCCAAGTACGTTCTTAAGTACCTATGTATTTATGTATGAACGATATGCTAAGTGAGAGAGAAACCCCCTTGCGGGATCGTCTATTATTCATCGTAGCGAATTTCAACTGGAGTTTCTTT